GGCGAGGGTGGGGGTCCGGGGGTGAAACCCCTACACCGGCTTGGGCCCCGGGGCTCCCCGCATGACAACCGTACTAATTAGTGATGCAAATACAAGAGGATGCGAGACTCAAACGTTCTGCAAAAGGTGTGCCTTACCTTCTGACTCCCCCGCATTCCTTGACACATGTTCAGTCCATGGCACATCCAAGCTGCGCTCAGTTCGACCAATATAGTTCGCTTTACGCCACGGCGACATCGCTGCACACACACAGGATCTTCGGCTAACTGAAATCGCCCTGTAATTTGAGCAACTAAACCCAGTTGGACATAAGCTTCGCCGCCCAAGGAATACACCCTCACACCGATACGGCTACGACAGCTGCTTGAAAACCACATCAATATCTTTGTTGATAGTTGGTGCCGAACATCTTGCTTTAACAACTTGTCCACAGGTCCTCCAGAGTTTTTTTTAATCTCACTGGTACCTCATCCGGACTCCGAATCGTCAGATCGAAGGGTATTGCTCTCACTTGACATGTCCTCTGGCAGGGACTTCTAATTGGCATCACATGGCAGGGTATCAAATGCCATGGCTGTGCGTTTTCCGCAAGTGCACAAATTCTGGTCTTTGCATCTCTGGCCTCCAGTGTGGAATTCATGTGATCTCTTTTTGTGTGTGAATGTGTATGCGCTCATGGTGATGAGCAAAGAGGCTCATTGCACATGAGGCAACAGAACCTCAAGAAAATAGGAAACACCACATTAATCTACACCCCAGCCAGCATGATCTCCCCCTCCAACAATCAAGCTTCTCTAGCTCCGATACTACTCCCCCAGACCAACACCTTAACCCCCCAATAGTCCAGCCTAAATCCCACTAGTCCTGGCTTTTAAATAGACACAAAATCCCGTCAACTTCTCCACAACCTCAAGAATAGGACATCTTCAGTCCTATAAAGCTGTACAATAGTAGGATAGGCTTCATGACCGCAGCAAAGATCGCAGCAACCAATCTGATAGGGTTTAGGGCTTTAGATAAAATCATTGCAAAACACCAAAACAGCAGTTCCAGCAAGCAAGGAAAATATGACAATCAAGGAGTTGAGAGGAGCAGGCTGGTTAGGCCCCAAACAGACAGGTTACAAGTAACGATGCAGTGAGGAAATCAGATAAGCAATCTAGTTCAGAAGCAAAGAAGCTCAGGCTAACTTAGGCAGGGGTGAAGAATGGTACATCCTTCCTTCGGGAAGTCATCAATGCGTGCGTCGGACCTTCCCACCATAAGGGGGAGGAGAGTGGGTGATTTCTCGTTGTGATTCTCTCTGACTTGCCGGTGGAATAGGAACCAGACTGATGCTCCCCGCAATGGAAAAGGGGCCAGAGCCCTAAGGTTCTGTTTTTTTCAAAAAAAAGAAAAAAAAAAGATTTGTGGAGGAAATGAGAGAGAATTTGGGGGTGCTTTAACAACACACACAACACACACACACACACACACACACACACACACACACACAGACACACACATACACACACGCACACACACAAATCTATAACTCACACACACACACACACACAGACACAGATACACACACACTGTTACATCTTCGACGCCACACGGGTCCTACCGGACCCGGCGTAGGGGTAGAGGGACACAGTAGGGCCAAAGGCCCGACCTTGGGGGGTACTACAGGCCGTAAAGGCCTCACCTTGGACCAGACCCGACGGGCAGGCCCAAACGACATTACCGTTTGGGCCTGGCGGCGCTCTTGAGGCTGCCGCCCGCCGGTTGGGGCTGAACTGTCCATCTGGACGGTTCAGGGCACGGCCAGGCCTCGCAGCATTGAGGCCGGCCTCTGCCCCACCGGTATAAAGAACCGGTCCAGCCTCAGTCGAAGGGATTGACCTACCGGCATTCTACTGGTACGGTATGGTACAGCGCGATACAGCGCTGGCGCTAAACTTAGCGCAGGAGCAGCAAGGAGCAGCAGCGCGGCATTAGCGCAGCAGCAGCAGCGAGCGAGCAGCAGCAGCGGCGACTGAGTGCCCCGGCGGTCATAGCCGCCTGAGGTATCGGGAGTTGGAGGCCTCTCTCCTCCCTCCCCTCGCCAGTCCCCTGTCCCTCTCTCTCTCCTCCTCGGCTCCTTCTTCTTCTTCTTCTTCTTCTTCTTCTTCTTCTTCTTCTTCTTCTTCTTCTTCAGATTGGAGACTTATACTAGTTGGACAGAGATCAGTGTTGGACTTCGGTGGTATGAGACTGTGGTACTWACCGGATTGGAGACTTGGAGATTGTTGGGGTTGATACTTGGCGACATCACAGTTCGGACACCGGTTACATTTGGACTCTGTATCTCCGACATYGGTGACCTATGGTCSTCGACATTTTGATCTTGTTGGATGACAATTTGGACTACCCTATCGGTGACCTATCAGATTCTATCTCGGTGACCTTCGGTGCTGTCTACCTCCCCCACCTCTTCGTCTCTCCTCCCCCATTCATCTGTGTATGTGTGTACGGGGCTGAGCATCTTCTATGTATGGCTCAGACCCCACCATCTCACGATTGTATGTGTGTGGAGTGGTGCTATGTGAGTCAGTCCGTTTATCAGACTTCCGCTGCATGCATGCTCATCCTATATTGGTTGATCTTTGGTTCTGCCCATACTCGTTGAAGTATGTAACAGTTTTGGTATCGGAGCAGACCATATTAACGGATCTGCTCACAAAGGTAAGTCTGATTAGGAATTAGATTTTTTTTTAATCTTCCGAATCAGCTCTATATTACTATCGAGTTCAAGTTGCAAAATTTTTTTTCTCTTTTTTCGGTATTCTGTTATTTCGGCATTTCCGCTTCAATTCAGTATTCGGACTTAGTATTCGGATTTCTGTTTTACGCCGGTATGCTGTTTAATTCGTTTCCGATAAATTGATACTAATCCGACATACTGCTTAATTGGATTTCTGATTAGGAATTCGTAATTAGGTTAAATCAGTATTCTGTTGATTCGGCATTCTGATTTTTAATCTGGTATTTCGTTTTCCAATCGGCATTTCCGTTTTATTGCAGTAGTGGAAATTAGGGTTACGAAAATTTTGGTTTTTCGCTCAACTTTGGAAATTCGAACGTTTTGGGAACCGTAAATCCGGAAATTCCGCCGAAACGCGGAAAATTAGGGTTGGGCCCGAAATTTTCGCGGAATTTTTTTTCGCTCCTTTGTTTTGAGAAATTCTGAAAACGGGGTTAGGCCTTTAAAAATCGGATTTTGACGGTGGAAATTCCCAAAATTCACGTTTTTGAAATTTCGAGTGTTTTTTTTTCCCTGACTTTTTTTGAAATTTTTTCGGCAAACTACTCCGAATCTAACCCTCAAGTTGCAACTTCCGGGTAGTTCACTCATTAACGGTGAACTCCCGGACCGTAATTGATCTCAAAGAGACCTAATCATAATACAATTCAAATTCGTTCATTATCATGATTGCAATTATTGTTTATTGATTATCTTTATTGCAAATATTGGTTATTGATTATCTTTATTACAAACATTGTTTTATTGATTATCACTAAGAAG